CCGAAGTTCAAACTGAAGGCATCATCTGATCAGTATTACTCCCAGTAGCAGGTAATAAGGACGTGCTGCACGCGCTGAAGGAGGGCCCATTTGAAACGCGCGTGGCGTAGTCAAGGCGGCGGGTGGAAGCAAATTCAGCGACAGCGGCAGTAAGAGCCGAGACTGACGACGGAGAGGCACGAGGGTCGGTGACAAGAGAGGCGAGAACACGAGAGAAAACAGGGCGAGCAGGACGGTAGTAGTCAGTGATAGGGTGAGAGGAAACAGTGAAAGACGACGCAGGAGGTGAGGGGAGAACAGACACAGGCGGAGAACGACGAGGAGGAGAACGAAACAAGACGGTGCGGAGGTCGGCAAGAGGAGACGAGCGCCAAGCACGCGGAGGACAACGACTGGTCCAGTCGTGCGGGACAACAGGAGGCGACGACTATGACTGAGGAGGAGAGAAAACAGCCAGAGCCGAGTCCGGAGGAGGAAACGTAGGACCGTACGCGGTAGGAGACTGTGAGTGAACAGGAGGAGAGGAAGGAAGACCAAGGGCCCGAAGGCCACTCACTGGAGGGAACAGCTGCTACAAAAGCGACGGCTGCTGCTGCTGCTGCTGCTCCTTGTCCAACCGCTGCAACTCCTGCCTCTCCCGCGCCAACTGCTCCTGCTCCTCGAGCTCAAGCCGGCGAAGGGCCTGGAAACGGGTGTCGTGGCGGTGGGGAGGCGCAGTGGGCGACGCAGTAGGGGAGCCTCCAGCTCCTGTCTCCTCAGTACCAGCTCCTACAGGGCCAGCACCTCCTGCTCCAGCACCCCCAGAACTAGCACCGCCAGTGCCAGCACCTCCAACTCCAGCACCCCCAGAACTAGCACCGCCAGTGCCAGCACCTCCAGCTCCAGCACCCCCAGAACTAGCACCTCCAGTGCCAGAACCTCCAGCTCCAGCACCCCCAGAGCTAGCGCCACCTGCGCCAGCACCTCCAGCTCCAGCACCCCCAGAGCTAGCGCCACCTGCGCCAGCACCTCCAGCTCCAGAACCCCTCGAACGAGCACCCCCAGACCGAGTACCGCCAGTGGCCGCACCTCCAGCTCCAACACCAACCGAGTCCACAGTAACCTGTCGCAGAAGTGCCGAAGGCTGCTGAGGAGACTGTGAGGAGCACTGCGGGGAGGGAGACGCTACCTCACGCGCGACCGAGGGTAGAGGGGTAGCGTGAGACACACCTGACGGGGCAGGACCAGGGGGGGGGTGGGGGTACCGGAGGAGCTGGAGCAGGGGGGAGAGAGGGTGCGAGGAAGAGGGGGAGAGGGGGAACCGGGAGTCCTCGACAAGGGTACCGGGTGTAGTAGGACACTGACTCGTCAAACCGGACGTCACGAGAGTCTAGAAACTGGTGGAGGGGCGGGTGGTAAAAGGAGTAGTCGGGAGAGCCAACCGGGAAATCAAGGAAGACACAGGGGATGGCGCTAGCCGAGAGCTTGTCCGCAGAGGTGTCGCGGACAAGCGCAAGGCAGCACCAGACGTGAAAGGCCGACCCAACACCAGGGGACCCAGTCCAAAGACTGGTCGGTGAAACCTCTGGCCGCGAGATACGCGGCTGGAGGTTCAGCTGGTGCGCGGCGTAGCGCAGCGCGTAGGGCCACAAGAAATGGGGCGCACGGGCATGGATCATGGACGTGCGGGCGATGTCCATGACCAAGCCAATGCGGTGCTCAGCCACCCCATTTTGCTGTGGGGACTCTGGCAGCGTCCAGGACTGTCTGATGCCCTGCTCGCCGCAGAACCCGGCAAGGACGCCAGAGCGAAACTCACCCCCACGGTCGGAGTGGAGACAACGGACACGACTACCACGAGTGCCCTCAGTGGCTAGAAGCCACCGGATCAGCGTAGAAGTCACCTCGGACTTCTTCGCGAGAGGAAACACCGTTGTGTACCTGGAGTAGTCGTCAACGACCACTAGAAAGTAGCGCTCACTCTCAGGTCCCAGCGTAGGGGTAGGGCCCCAGACGTCCAGGTGGAGAGTCTGAAAGGGAGCAGTGGCCGGACGAAGGGAGGAGGAGTGCGGAGTGGCGCGCAGGCGGCCGGCGACGCAAGGAGTACATGGTGGGGCAAGCGAGGGAGGGAGCGACGGAAAGACGCGCGGGAGACCTGAGACAAGACTGTGACTGGCCATGCTGCGGAGGCGGGGGAGCGACAGGTGGCCAAGGTGGTGGTGCCACAAGACGGTAGGGTGTGCTAGGGACCGACACGAGCAAGACGCTGACCAGACACCTCTACCTTACCAGACACAGCGACCGGACTAGACACTGGGACCTGAAGGGACGCAGCGACCTGAGCGGAGGAAACAACCGGGGAGCGCTCGGTGTGGAGAACGTAGAGACCAGAGCGGGAATCCCTGGTGAACGTGGCCAGAACAGCACCTGTAGCGGCGTCTGTACAGACCGCAGTCCTCCCACCCCCCACAAAGGTAACGGTGATCCCCCTGTCCTGGAGGTATCCAACACCCACCAAGTTCCGAGTGAACGACGGGATGTGGAGGCCGCGCAGGACAAGGGAGGGTGGTGGAGCTGCGCGCAACTGCTGGTCCTGAAGAAGGGACAACCAGAGCTACCGGAACCGGAGCAAGGAGTGGTGTGAGGGTCGTGTGGTCGCGGAAGAAACACTGCGACGCGCCAGAGTCCAGCGTGAACGACAGAGACGCCTCAGTCGGAGGCGTGTCAGGTCCGGAGGCTACACAAGCACCTAGAGCAGAAACACAAGCACCTAGACTAGAGAGGCACAGGTCTACACTAACAGGAGGCAAGCATGCTAGACTACGAACACGCGAGCACACAGATCCATCAGCACTATAGTCAACATCAGCATACAAAGCATACTGGCGAGCATCGTCCATAGACAGTTCAAATACAGGAATCTTACGGGCTAGCAGGCGAGCTCAGTGCGGGGTGGTCGCCTCAAGACCCCAGCGCGCACGGTAGAGGTCGTCGAGGCGGCGGAAGCACCGCGCCGCAAAGTGGTCGTCGCGACCGCAGACACAGGGACTGCCCGGTCCGATGACGCACCAGTGGTCGCAGGGGCCGGTGTCGCGCCTCGGGGGGCGAGGGGCCCAGCTGGTAGTGCTGCTGCTGCGGCAAGTGCTCCCGGGTCCTCCAGGTCCCCACTGTGGCGGAGGGCCCCAGTGCTGCTGCGGACCCCACTGCAGTGGGGGTCCCCACGACTGAAACTGCTGTGGTGCCTGCCATTGCTTCTGTCCCTGCTGCTGCTGCTGTCTCTGCTGTGGCTGCTGCTGCTGAGGCCCAGCACCACCGCTGGTCGAACCTCCTCCAGTAGGCGGGTGGGCACCTCCTCCAAAGCTCCCTCCGCCCGGTGCACCACCGCCACCGCCACCACTGCCGCCCCCAGGGCCGCCTCCACCACCGCCACCTCCTCCACTGCCGCCACCCCCCTTCCCCCCTTTCTTGCCTCCCTCGCCCCGTTTCTGCCTGTCAGCGGCAGAAACAGCTGCAGTGTCCTCAGAGACCGACACAGCAGCAGAGGCACGAGTAGCAGTGAAGTTAGTAAGCTGGGGGACAGCACACCCCTCAAACAGACGAGGAGCAACTTCGTCAGTGACTGAGGCAACGGAGAGGAGGTTACTCTCGATCTTCCCGAGAGTGGTCTCGAGAAGATCAATCGTAAGCTCACTGGGGTGCTGCTGGAGAAGTGCGGCACGGGCAGCGGAGAGGCGGTCAGGGAGACGAGTGACGAACCAGTGGATGGTGAGCCAGATAGGAGGAGGGGCAACAAGAATCTGAGCCTCAGTGCAAGCTGCTCGGTAGCTAGCGACAAGAGAGCGCAAGTGTGTGGCTAGGTCGGAGACAGTCGCAAACGAGCCAAGGTCGGGAAACACGAACGGCATGAGGATGCGGCTGAGGGAGGCAGAGGAAGGGGTGGAATAGCGTGCAGAGGTAGCATCATACACCTCCTTCGCTGTCTCTACCAGGTCGAAGTGAGCGGCCTCAGTCGGTGGAAGGAGCTCGGTCAGCGCGAGTGCAGCCGCAGCGTCACGGGAGTCCCAAACGTCCCGCGCCAAGACGAGACGAGCGTGGTCCGCCTGCGCCTCCGAAGTCGGGGGGGGCACGACAGGGAGGGGCTCGGGACGCGGGGGTGCCTGGAGGGCGCCGGACGCGTGGGCGTTCAGGGTGGCGCCATCCTGGCGCTGACTGGTGAGGTATCACTGAGTCTGGCGGAGCCAGGTGCCGAACTCTATCGGGCGCCCCTCCGCATCGAAACGAAGGCGGCGGGAGGAGTCCATATTGGACGCTAGGCTAGGAACGGCGGAGGTGAACCTAGGAGTCCTAGGAGCGCCAGTGGAGGAGGAAACCGGGCTAGGGGCGAGAGGCTAGGAGCTAGGTGCGACCCGGGTCGAAATCTAGTGACTGGAGAGAGAAGCGGCTGCCAGCCGCTGAGTGAAAAGCCAGTAGCAGTAGGAACGGTTTTAGCCCGGGGGACAGGGCGGTGGCTAGGTGAGAAGGGGCAGTTGGGACGTTAGGAGGAGGTGGCGCGTGGGTTAGGGCGCAGGCTAAGGGGAGGGCGCGGGCTAAGGCGAGGGCACGGGCCTAGGCGAGGGCGCGGGCCTAGGCGAGGGCGCGGGCCTAGGCGAGGGCGCGGGCTCGGCGCCGACTAGGCGCGGAGGGCGCGGTTGACGCGGAGGGCGCGGCTAAGCGCGGAGGGCGCGATGGGCGGGCGGTGCTCGGGCGCGGGCTAAGGCGCGGGCTGGGGCGACGGGCTGGGGCGCGAGCTGGGGTGACGGACTGGGGCGCGGGCTGGGGCGACGGGCTAGGGCGCGGGCTGGGGTGACGGGCTAGGGCGCGTGGTGACAAACTGGGCCAAAACTTCCTCCTCCCAGCTCATCCCCCACCCTCCCCGTTTTTCACTGCCAGTTGGGGCATTTCATCGTTACGCTCCAGCTGAACCGAACCCAAACTTGTTGGCCCCCTTGTCTCCACTCATTTCTCTACTGCTGGTCCCCCTGATGTCTCCTCTCATGCCTCTATTGTTAACCCCCTTGCTGTCTCCACACATTGCCTCCACTGCTGCTCCCCTAGCTATCTCCTCTCCTGCCTCTCCTGCCTCTCCTGCTGCCCCCCTTGCTGTGTCCACTCATGCCCCTACTACTGGCCCCCCTGCTGCCACCAATGCTCTCTCCCCTGCTGCCTCACCCTTTGACACCCATGCTGTCTCCACTCCTGCTTCTCCTGTAACTCCCCTGCTACCTCTCCTGCTAACTCCCCTGCTACCTCCCCTGCTGCCTCCAATGCTGCCTCCACTACTGCCTCCACTACTGCCACCCATGCTACCTCCAAAACTATCTCACACATCCCTTCCATCCTCTCCTGCCACCATCCACGCTGGCTCCAAGGCTGCTGCTGGATTTCTTGATGCCTTTCCTGCTGCCTCCCCTTGTTGCCTCCCCTTCTGCGGCCCTTGTCCTGCCAGTTGGACCCCAACTGGCTTCCTACCCCCTGCTCTTCCCGTTAACTAATCCCCTACTGCCTCACCCGATGCCTCTCCAACTGCCTCCACTACTCCCCGCCCTGCTAGCCCCCTTGTCCTGCCACCCCAGCACTTTTCCCTCCTGCCTCCCATGCTTTGCCTCTCTTGTGCCTTTCGCTCTCCCTCCACTCCTCCCCCCCTGCTGCTTATCCTCCTCTTCCTCCTCATCTTCCTCTTCCTCCTCCTCTTCCTCCTCTTCCTCCTCCTCTTCCACCTCCTCTTTACCTCCTATTCCTCCTCCTCTTCCTCCTCCCATTCCTCGTTATCAGGCTGGGCCGTCCTTTGGTATGCCTCGAACCTAGACGAGTGTACATAGAGCCCACGCTTGCCCCCCTTAAAGCCCTGCATCTTTTTCCTATACGTCGTCATCGTCGCTCTCTGGTTCCAGTGGAGAAGGCTGCGCTGTATCCCTGCTGCTTCCTCCCGCAGGTCCCGGAGGCGAGTCGTCGTCATCGTCGTCGCTATGTCAAAGAACTCGCTGACATTGTCCTGCTCCAGGATGGCGGCGGCGGCGGCGGCTTCGTCTTCGGGGGTAGCGTAGCTGTGCCCGTCATTTGCGTAGGCGCGATTTGCGCCCGCCTGCTCGTCCGCGCGGTACTGAGTGAGGTGAAGTCGCTCGTTGAAGATGACGTCGCGCGCGTTTGTTTCCTTGTTGCTGAGCAGGTCGAGGATGATCCATGCCATATATTCGTAGCTGATCCCCAGGTGAATGCCCCAGCGGGCACGGATTGTGAACTTGCCAATGGTTGAGGTGGGGGGTCTATACTGCACCATGCACCCCCACACACGGAGCATGGAGGTGTCGCCCTTCTTGCCCGCCCACTTTACGTGCGGGGTAAGTTCCCCGTAATGGCTGTGGTGGAGAGGAGATTGTTCACCTGCACGGCTTGGTGCATCGCGTACGGCCAGTAGGTGGTGGGGAGCTTCAACTGTTTCAGTAGCACGCGCACCTTCATCATAAGGGTGCGATTGGTGCATTCGGCGACGCCCTACTGCGGATGTGCATAGGAGAGGGAGACGTGGTGCGAGTTCCCCTTTCGTGCCATGTAGTCCTGCAGCTCTTTGCTGCGGAATTCCGCTGCACCGTCAGTCTGCCAGATCTGCAGCTTCTTCCTGGATTGTCGTTCCGCGTGCGCGAGCCATAGGCGGAAGACCTCCTACGCCCTGCTGCAGAATTGCACGTTCGTGATCCAAACGTAGCGAGTCCCCGCATCGACGAAGGTAAGCCTATACCCTTCGTCGTTGAGCCTGCGGAGATATGCTACACAATAGGAGCTAGACTGCGGGGAAGGCACGGGTGTGTGAGTGATCGCAACGTTCCTTGCGTGTTTGCTTGTGTTCTCTCTACGCACACATTCCGGCGTCCCATAGTCCGCGGCTTCGCAGTGACCCCGTGCAGATCGACCACACCCGTCTACCTGCGCGCCGAAGTCGGTGTCGCACACTGCAGACGGTCGGCTGCACTTCCCGCACACCCGACCACGAAGTCGGCTCCGCCCAAGCGAGGACGGGGCCAACACACAACTCCCCGTTGACAGAGCCCGCAGTGGCCGACGACAAGGAAATCGCTATATACCTTGTGTAGTTTGGGGTAGCGATTGGTTCTTGGCTCCAGCAGCGGGAACGGCTGATGGATTAGCGTAGCTTCGGTCCTGACTTCACAACTGTTAGGGCGCAAGAGTGCACCAGGCGCGAATACTCCTGCCTCGATGCAGTTATTAAGCGTTACGCGCGAGGGCTGACCGAGGCGCCGATGCCACAGGTCGTCGGATGCGCGTAGTCCGGAGGTGCACGTGTAGCGCGCGCACCACTTCGGGGTCTTCTTCGGGTTCTGCTGGCGATTATTCTACCACCGCTTCTTCGTTTGCTGTCGTCAGCATCAGCGCGAGGAATTCCCTGTCGGGAATAACAGAGAGGGGAATGTTGGTCCCAGGGATTGTTTTGGGGACGAGAGTGGGTTCAATCGATGGTGTCCCAACGGTCGTGATGCGGCTGAACGTCAGCGGGAAGCGGCGCAGGTGCATGGAGGCGCCGAGGGCGGCCGAGAGGAACAATAGGAGGCTCGAATTCTTCGGTTTCTTCCGTTCCCCCCAGCCTCAGCCTCCGCCGGCATCGGCCCAGGTACCTCCCGTGTTGCCCCAGGTACCGCCGCTGCTAGTTCCCCAGCCGACGTTGCTGCCCCAACCCCCTTCATTGGAGGCACCTTCCTCTTCTGCGCCCCATGCGCTGCACGCGAAAGTTCCGCGTGCTTCGGCGATGCTTTTCTGGTGAAGCTCTTCTGCTTCGCGGCGTGCCAGCTCTTCTTTTTGTGCTATGATGAGTTTCTTCTTGGGGTCGCGTCAGTGTGGTAAACTTTCAGGAACTCCTCCTTCGTCTAAGGGCGCGCCACCCCTCGCGCTTCGAAGTTTCCGCGGCGCCGCCCACGGAGAATCCCTTCAAGACGTTCTGCGGCTGTGCCAGGGAGGGGATCCTCTGGGGTGCCGAAGACGTTGCGCGTCGCAACTTCTAGCTCCAGCGCCGACATTCCTTCGTCCGGCGGTGCAAATCGCTCAGCTTCGGCGATTGCGCCGAGTCCTCGTCCTGCGATCGCGTTCGTCGATGCAGTCGGCGTGTGGCAGTCTCTGTAGATGCCATCGGGGTCGGGGTCGTGCAGCACGACTTCACGCTTTTGCGGGTGATGCGGCACGCAGGGCCTCCTGACCGGATGCTTCCATTTGGAGCGGTGGATGTGCTCGAAACGGAGCGGGATGAGATCGATTAACTCATCCGTGTCGCCGTTGCTGTCGGGAATATCGAAGTCAAGCACGTACATGCCGTTCTCGTAGTGTGCTCGGCCGATCTGCTTGCGCGGTTTGTTAGGCGTGTCAAACATTATATATATGTTATAGTTGTGTAGGCTATAGTGGGTTAGCCTTCTAGGGGGTACACTACTCTAGGGTTTGGTACTTGTATCCCCATTCCCTTTCTAGTTCACCATTCTCATTCATTCTTAGATTCTAACATGGTATTACGAGCCTAGGTCGTAACCTAGGACCGAATGATAGGGCCCACCGTTTCCGCTTAGTCGCGCCCTAGCGCGCCTCGCCTAGTCGCGCCCTCGAGCGCCCTCCTCTCTCCCTCACTGCCGCGCGCCCTAGCGTGCCTCTAGCGATCGGCCCCGCCCAGCCCGCACGCCCTAGCGTGCCCCATGCGATCGACCCGTGCAGCCCCACGCACGTAGCTTGCCCCGCGCGCGCCCTTGCGTGCCTCGTGCGGCCCCGAGCGCCAGCTGCCCCACGCGCCCGTGCGCGCTCCTTACGAACCGGCCCCGCCTACCCGCGCGCCCTTTGCGTGCCCCGAGCGACCGGCCCACACCCACCCGCGCGCACTTGCGTGCCCCTCGCGTACCGGCTCCGCCCCGCTAGCTCGCCCTTACGTGCCCCGTGCGACCAGGCCCCGCACCGCTAGCTCGCCCTTGCGTGCCCCGTGCGACCAGGCCCCGCCCCGCTAGCCCGCCATTTCGTGCCCCGTGCAGACCGGCCCCGCTCTGCCCTGCACGCCCTTGCGTGCCCCACCTCGAGTAGCCGCCGCCTAGCCGAGCCGAGCCGCCCCACCGAATCGCGTCGCCCGGCCCGAGCCGCGCCGCCCTACCGAGCCGCGCCGCCCTACCGAGCCGCGCCGCCCTACCGAGCCGCGCCGCTACTGCTATCACTGTTACTGCTGCTACTGCTTCTCCTACAATTATGGCTAGCCCTGCTGTGCTCTCTTTCGATGCTGAGGGCCGCCCACTGAAGTTTGACACCTGGTTAGATGACTTGCACCTGTTCCTCCAGCTCACTGCCAAGGAGGATATCTTGCTGTACGATCACGCACTAGGACTCGCTGCTGCCCCTGCTGCTACTGCTGACATTACTGCCCTCTCACAGTGGCAGACTCGTGACGCCCACGCTCGCTTCGCTATTCGCAACTCCTTGCCGATAGATGAGCGCGAGCACTTTGGCCAGCACAAAACTGCGCAGGCACTGTACACTGCTGTAGTTGCACGCTACTCCTCACCTGCCTCTGCTGCGCTAGGCCGTCTCTCGCTCCCCTACCTGTTCCCCGACCTGTCCGCTTTCTCCACAGTCGCTGACCTCATCACGCACCTCCGCACTAGTGAGGCCCGCTTCCGTGCCGCTATGCCCGCTGAGTTTCTTGCCAAGAACCCCCCCCCGCTCTGGCTCACTCTCTACCACCTGGTCACCCGTCTCCCTGACTCTCTTCGTGCGGTCAGGGACCACTTCCTCGCTCGCTGCCCCACTGAGCTCACCGTTGATCTGCTCGAGAAGGAACTGCTTGCAGCTGAGACTAGCATAGTCGCTGTAGGTGCCTCTCGTGGCGACCCCCGCACCCCTTTCTTCGAGGGGTGTTCCCCTTCCCCCCTTCTCCCCTCTGTCGCCTCTGCTGCTGCTGTCGACCTAGTTGGTACTGAGCAGGTCGGGACTGCGTCCACTCCGAGTTGGCGCCGCAACAGCAAGGGCAAAGGGGGCAAGGGAGGCGGAGGTGACGGCGGGGGAGGCGGTGGTGGGGGCGGTGGCGGCGGTGGGGGTGGTGGCGGGACTGGAGGGGCTAGTGGCAGCAGTGGGGGTGGTGGCGGCAGCGGCGGAGGAGGTGGCCGGGGTGGGGGCGGTGGTGGTGGCGGCGGTGGACGCGGTGGCGGCAGGGGCGGTGGTGGTCGAGGTGGTGGCGGCGGAGGTGGAGGTCGTGGAGGCGCTGGCGGTGGCCAGAGCCAGCAGCAGACTCCGTCGTCCCAGGAGCTTCGTGAGTGGTACTCTCAGCACGGGGGGGGGGGTGGCCTTAGCTGCACGTACGTCATCCGCACTGGTGACCGCACTGGCCAGACGTGTGGGAGGGCGCACACCACGCAGCGCTGCTTCTCCCGCCTCGACGACGCCTGGCGCACTCAGTTCCCTGGTGCCACTGAGCTGCCCCGCTGGGATGATCTGATGAGGAAGAACATTGATATCTATGCTCTTGACTTTGATGCTATTCTTGGTGCCATGTATGTGTTGTCTGCTAGTGGAGAGAGTGACCAGTACCTGCGTGTTCCGCCCGATCCGGGCATTCGGACCAGTGAGGCTGCCGCTCTAGGTGCTAGTGCGTCTGTTGCCCTAGGTGCTGGTGAGGCTGCCGATCCAGGTACTCGCGTGTCTACTGCCCCAGGTGCTGGTGAGGCTGCTGCTCTAGGTGCTCGTGAGTCTGCGCCCTCTGGTACTGAGTCTACTGAGGCACTGCACACCTTCACACTGGACTCAGGTGCCTCTCGCTGTTTCTTTCGAGACAGCACTGCCCTTGAGC